CTGCAGCGTGAGGAGCCATGGCGACCTATGTGCAGCTGAACACTGGAGCCAAGATGCCCATCCTGGGGCTGGGCACCTGGAAGGTAACAGCTTGACAGAAAAGCACTCGTACTGCAGAGCTCCCTGGCACCGACATGGCTTGCTTCTGCTCTGCCTGGCTGCGGGACTGAGCCTGTGTGAGAAAGGAGCTACAGAGTAATGGCAGGAGGAGGGATTTGAGTTTCAGAGCACCGATCTTGCAAAAAAACTAACATCAGGGAGGGTTACTTTCTGTAAGGTAGCTTTCCCATTCTTCTTTTGCTAGGAAACAGGTATTCAAACTGCAGTGATCTGAGCTTTTTAAGAAATTGTTGTTGTTTTCAGTCCCCACCAGGACAAGTGACAGCTGCAGTGATGGCTGCAATCGATGCTGGATATCGCCACTTCGATGGTGCCTATGCGTACCGGAATGAGAGGGAGGTTGGGGATGGGATCCAGCAGAAAATCAAGGAAGGCGTTGTGAAACGAGAGGACCTCTTCATTGTCAGTAAGGTAAACATCTGATGTCCTTCCGTCCCAAAGCAGGGGATGGGAAATGCTCTGCCTATGCTGTTTGCGGAGTAGGTAGCTTAGAGTCAAGTTTTACACCGAAGGACAAAGCGATTCCTAACATCCTTCTTGTCATTCCTGATTCGAGCTCACTGCTTCACCTCATGAGGAAGGCAGTGGCCCTGCACCTCAGGCCCCTGCTGGAGCTCAGAGTCCACCTGCACAGCATGGGCACGGGGGAAGGGGAGCAGGAAAAGAGATGGAGGGCCACGTAGGCAGAAGAAAGCTAGAAATCAGAGACAAACTGCTCTGAGATCACATGTGGTAGTGGGTTGGTACAGAGGCACTACCGGTGTGCTGATGGCACTCTCGTGATGCCAAAGCACACCAGAGCTGGCAAACATTGCAGCAGTAGTGCCTTGGAGCACCACAGTTCTTGCCCCAGCAGTGGGGCTCACACTCGTCTGCTGCACGGGGAACATGAGGTTCTGGGCAGTGTCAGATGCCTTTATTCCCCATGGCTTTCCAAAGAAGATGGAGCATTCCTGGCATCTATGAAACGGCACACAAAGCTTTAACCCAGGAGATCACACTGTGGCTTGGCTTTTTGTCTCCAGCTGTGGTCCACATTTCATGAAAAACATCTCGTGAAGGGAGCCTGCCAGAAAACTCTTGCCGATCTAAAACTGGATTACCTGGATCTCTATCTCATCCACTGGCCTTCAGGCTTCAAGGTACAGTAATGGCAATTCTGTTTACTTGCTTTCTTGGGTGGAATCTTCAGAGCTGCCAGCTATGCTTTCAGCACCACTGCTGTTCCTGTCCTGAAATACCACATCTCTTTGGAGCTGTCATTCTGTTCTGCTCTGGCCATGTGAGCCAGGCTCTGGAATTGTGCCCACAAGCGCACTTCATGCATGGTGTTTTCTGTCCTCTTGATAATGGGAGAGAAAGATCTAATTGATGGCCAGGATGCACTGATCCTGCCTGAATTAAAAGGATAAAATGGTTCAAGATTTCACTATCTTATGATGAGTATTAAAGTGTGTGGATTTGTTTTAATTCCATCTTAGCTTGCTATGCCCCTCTTTGGTTAACTTACAAATCTAACTTCCCTAAAGGGAATGTTACAAACATTTTCATTCCACACTCACAGGCAGGAGAGGATCTGTTTCCCAGAGATGAGAACGGCATGGTTATACCCAGTAACACTGACCTTCTACAAACATGGGAGGTAAGTTCAACCACAGAAACAGTCCACTTTTCTCTGTCTTTTACAGTCCTTTCCACACTTTCATTGCATTCAACACTCTCAGAAATGTCCTTTCACACATGGACATTTACTTGGGAGGAAATCAAGGAAATACAAGGTAGATGGATGCATGCTTAGTCATTACTTCCACACTGCGGATCCCTGCATGCCTAAATCACAGTGAGAGCCAAAATCTCTTTCAGGGAAGCTGCAGACCTTGCAGAAGATGGAAGAAGTTCTCAACTTGACCATATCAACTGTCCAATGCACCACAAGTCCTCAGGCAGTTCTTGTACTGCTCAAACACATTTTGCAGGAGTAAAGACATAACAGGTTGTGATATTACCTACAGCCAGGGGCACAACCCTTCAGTGCTTGTACAGCAGCAAATTGTTGAGTATCACTGTCCTTTTCCTCATGCATTTTTCACAGTGTCAAGGAGTTAGACTATGAGCTTGGAGCAGCTTGCACCCACATTTCTTCAGCAAGCGTTGCAGATCTGTATAGTTAATTTGTGCTTCTCTTGAAAACAGGGAACCGTGCCACAGAAGAGCATCTTCAAGATCCATCTTCGATACCAGGTGTTGAATTTGTTCCTCTTTCTGCTAGGCCATGGAAGAGCTGGTGGATGCTGGCCTGGTAAAAGCCATTGGCATCTCCAACTTCAACCACGAGCAGATTGAAAGAATCTTGAACAAGCCAGGACTGAAATACAAGCCTGCAAACAACCAGGTAAGATGATAAGTGACCCCACTTATAAATGCGTTCATTGACCGTGAAGACCTGATGTGTTGAATGGGGATATGGAAAAGGACATCAGTGTGAAGAAGGCATTTATCCTGAATAGCTCTGTGTGTGTATTTCTGCATACAAAAAGCACTGACATATTCACAACTTGTTGTACCTTGATGGACTGCAGTACACAAAGGCAGATGTATTTCCTCATGAAACGTTTCCGGAAGGATAAAGAAAACGGAGCTGAGTTTGATGAAACCCCTGCAGACTAACTGTGTAAAAACTTTACACAATAATTGGTTTTTAAGAGAAAATGACAGATGCATATTATCACCCAAGACATTAGTCCATTTGTCCAAAAGGCAGCTCCTACTGCATTTGGTGACTGTTGTTGACACACAGCAATATCTCAGTGGTTCTGCCACCATCATCCTCTGCATCCTCTTGTGTTTCCAGATTGAATGCCATCCATACCTGACCCAGGAGAAGCTGATCAACTACTGTCAATCCAAAGGGATTGCTGTGACAGCATATAGTCCTTTGGGCTCTCCTGACAGGCCACAGTAAGAATATCTGAAGTTTTGCAAGGGAGCTGGCAGGAATTTTGCAGGAACTATTGCTACTACAACTCCATTAATCGTTCATCGTGATACAGAGATATCTATTGCTACACTGGCTGTTCCTGTGGAGGTTTCTTGCCACTGACATTCTTATATTTGCTTAGGGTTAAGCTAGAGCATTCTTTACCTCTGGATGACCCCAGGATTAAAGAGATTGCAGCCAAGCCCAACAAAACAGCAGCACAGGTAGGTGGATGCTGGACGGTGGGTACTGCTTCCCATAACTCTGTCATTAACAAAAATTAGGCCTGAGGAGGAAATCAAATGTAAACCCATTCTCTACAAGTTGTGGCACTCCTCTGATTATTCCCAAAAAATGCAGATTGTCCCTTGTATGGCTTGCAATATAAGCTACGTTTGCTTACTTGGCCATAAAAAAAGGAAAGATTCTTGACCCATCTTCAGGTATGGCTTTCCCTCTCAAGTTCTGTTGCAGAGAATGGCAACATCGTATAAATTACTGAAAGTCCAAGCAAGAAAGAAAATACACAAACTGTTTCCAAACCAGACTGGGGAGGAGGCCTCCCTTCTGGTTACCCACCACTCCCCTTTTTGCTCATCACGGAGCCCTACACGGGCCATAGGACAGGAATGACTTGAAACGCTGCTATATAAAAGTGGCTGCACATACGGCAAACCACTGTTGAGCACACTCAGCTTCTGTGATAACACCACCTGTCTTCTTCTCTCTCATTCGGTGGTCTCTTCCTGCAGGTTCTCCTTCGCTTCCATATCCAGAGAAACGTGATTGTGATCCCCAAGTCTGTCACACCACAGCGCATTGTGGAGAACTTCAAGGTGGGTGATTACGAGTAAGCTGGCATCACTTCTCCCTGCAGAGCAAACAGGGATCCTTCCTCAGCCTTCCCAAGCCCTTCTCAGAAAAGAACAAAGGACTTTTTCTATCTGCAGGCTTACCTCTACTAAAGGATTATTCTGAGCAGGCTTGGAGGCCAAGAACAGTAACACAGCAGATAAACCTGACATAGAATATACAGTGCTCATAAAGAGGTTCTTGTGTTCATTAAAAATGCAGTCCTCTATCTCTTAAGTCAGCAGTCCATGACATAAAATGGATCTGCTGTCTCTCTTCCTCACACTACTCCATTTCTTTCAAAGAGGTGATTTCCAGTATTTTCCCTTGTTAGGTCTTTGACTTTGAATTGACTAAAGAAGAGATGGCAACTCTTCTCAGCTTCAAAACGCACTGGAGGATGGGTGTAGTCAGCCAGTAAGTGACATCGATTCTTTACTTTCAA